GCCAGCCGCTGCTGGAATCCAGCCCCTTCCCCGGCTGCTGCGGCACAGGGAGCTTTGTTAGGAAGGGCCCAGCAGGCAGCATCCGGCCCTCTCTGGCAACGAAGCTCTGCAGTGACTCACTAGGCCCACAATGCAACCCATAGGGAGTGGGGAGGGCGGGGAGAGGCTGCAGAAGTAACAGGAGCTCCAGCCACCTGCAGGTTCTCAGGATCGCTCCAGGAACCACCAGGCTGCAACGGATGACTCGCAGCTCGGCCCAGACTCGGCTAATCCCAGCGCGCAGGCTGCAGGGCAATACAACGGCCGCACAGGCCTTACACCCCTCCCCCCCCGGCTATTTGCAGTCCCATGAGCCTGAGCCACTGGACCTGGGCTCCCACTGGCTGTCAAGGGTGGGGCTGGGGCAGCGAAATGGACCCTGCCCACAGGCCTGCCAGAGCTAGAGTCGCAGGATCAGGAGACTGGGTTCTGCCCCAGCTGGAGTGAGCTTGAGAGAGATGTCTCTCGTGCCTCAGTTTCCCCACTGAACATGCCTGGAGGCCCTCCTACAGCCGTGCGACTCGAGTGCAGAAGAGCTGCACTGCGGAGAAGGAATGAAGGGGTCCACCCCAGCTCGCTCTTCGGGAGCAATTTAAAGCCTGAAAAGGCCTCTGATCCCTGCAGGGTTTGGTTCTCGCTGGTGATCACCCCGGGTCCAGCTGACGTGCAGGAAACTCACGTGTGGGAAACCACAGCGATGCAGCGACTCCACTCCCAGGCCGGAAGGGACTGCTACAGTTACTAGCCTGACACTTCTCTGAATGACTTCCTGTTTGCACGACAGCAGACCTTAGACAACCCCCCCGCTCGATTTAACAGGCCAGGGGGAGGATCCGTAAGCTGCTCTAAGGGTTAACCACCCTCACCTCTTATTTCCAGCTCCGTTCCTCTGGTCTAGGGCAGACCCCTGCCATGGGGGCACTGCACGGGCAGGGCGCAGGCTTCCCCCAGCGCAGCCAGTCTGCACTAGTGCCCTCGACCAGCAGGCTCAATGTAGTTAAACTGGGGCAGCCCATAGCACAGACGGCGGTGGGGACAAGCACCTGGCGCACGGAGGCGCCTAGAGAACCATACTACCTGCAGCTACTGCGGGGAACGCTAGAGCGCCCGGCGAGGGATCATAACCGGCTGTCCCAGGGTTCAGACAAACTAACAGGGGTCGGGAGGGGCACACGACCCCCAAGTTGCCTACTGGGGGGTTTCTTCCGCCTTCCTCTGAAGCCGCCCTTAGAGAACAGACACCAGTTGAGTGAACCAGGGATTCAGTGCTGCCATGCTACGTCCCCAGTGGTGTCTCTAGGGTGCATGATGTTTAACCGATTAAAGGGGCCACGGGTGGGAGAGGTTGCGTCAGCCCCGCTGGGCGGGAGCCACCCCCTAATCTGCTGAGGCAGGACTGGAGTGGCCGCAGGCAGGGGCTGCGCCAGCCCCCACCGGTTAACAGTTAACCAGAAGCATCACCTGATAAGAGTGATGGTTACGTTAACCTTTCACCTCCCCAGGTGCACCTACACTTAAAAGGCCCCAGGAACAGAGCTGCTCCACTAGACGCCACCTACGCCGGCAGGAGGGATTCTCGAGGCTGTAGCAAGGGGAAAGGAAGAATTCTTCCGGCACCCGGCGATCCCTCCCCAGGGACTCAGCCTGCTGCTTGGGCAGAGGGTGGGGGGGAGAAGAGGAGCATGCGGATTTCCCCCCCACCCCCCCGAGTGACTTCATGAGGCCAACGTATTCTCTAGAGCTCTGCCCAGAGAATTCAGCCAGGGTGGCGAGTGTCTGGGGGGCTCCCAGCCCGGCCGCCCAGCCAGGACTCACGCCATGATGCCGGAGAGGTGGAAGAGCTCGGCCGACAAGTAGGCCATGTAGCTGTAGAGGAAGACGAAGAGGGGCTCGATGACGCGGATGTGGGAGGTGAAGCGGGAGGTGAAGGCGGCGATGACCCCGTAGACGACGCCGACGAAGACGCCGCCCAGGGACACCACGAAGAAGCTGAGGAAGCCCAGGACGATGTCGGTGACGGTCACCTGATCAAAGTTGGCGTACTCCTCGAAGAGGTGGTAGAGCACCTGGAAAGGGAAGAGAGACGGGGCTATTTCCAGCTGCCAGCCCTGCTCCTCCGAGGCACAGGGAAGACGGGCAGTCCCCTCGGGGAGCCCTGCGCAGAGGCCGCCAACATGAGAGCTGCATCAAAGGGACAAGACATTAGCCTCAGACACGGCAAGGAAGCACAGATCTGAGCTCCTGGTTCCGCCAGCCCCCGTCCTGCTGCGTGTAGCGGCTGGCCCGGGATAGCTAGCCGGTGCTCGTGGGGAGCCAGCTCTCCCCCAGCACTGGCTCCCGCCTGCCCCCTCTGCCCACACACACTTGCCTCCCCTCCCCAGAGGCAGCAGCATGGGGGGGCATGGGGCAGCCT